GTCATCATCATTCTGATGATGACATAATTAATGTCGAAATATTGAATCCCAACACGATGGCGTGTATTTCAATACTTGGAGTATGTATTATACTTTCAAACCTATCCATTCTCTATAGAAATATAATTCTATAAAAAAATGATCCAAGATTTTTTTTTCTCTATATAAGACCCATACATGCTCTATAGAGATAGTGCTATAGAAATATAATTCTATAGATTATTACTTAGAAGAAAAAATGTATATACTTTTTATAGAAAGAGTTCTAATTAAATTCTATACAATTTCTAGATTAATTATACAATTTCTTTTCAGAATTTTTAAATATAGAGTCTATAGAATTTCTATTTTTCTTTCAGAAAATTTTTTATAGAATTCTCGTTTTATTCTGATGTATTTTCTATTTCGATAAAGTTGTTTATAAAGTCTTTAGAAATTATACAGTTGAATGTATAGAATGAATAATATACAATTTCTTTTAGAATTATAAATTGATTTCTTATGGAGTTATGGAATTAATTAACCTAATTAATTAATTAATTCCTAATTGGGAATTTATATTAAAATTCTATATACATTCTATATACGTTTTAAAGAACTTGTTGGCAGATTCCATGGGAAATAGGCCTATGTGAATACCATATTGATTGAATTTTATTCTATAAATTTATGAAAACATTATAAATAATTCTTGAATCATACAATCATCTGGATTTTATCAAAATTATCTACCTGCACTTTATCCCAAAACATAAATCAATTTATATGGAACGCCGTTCAAGCAACAATTTGATGATAATCAGTGAACCGACGATGATGAAAAAATTAAATCGTCGATGATGAAATGTGAACCTTCGATGATAAAAAAGTGAATCGTCGATAGTAAAAAGTGAATTGTCGATTATGAAAAGTGAACTGTCAATGATGAAAAAAGTGAAACGTCGATAATAAAAATGCGAACTGTCAATGATGAAAAAAATGAATCGTCGATGATAAAAAGTGAATTGTCGATAATGAAAAAAGTGAATCGTCGATGATGAACAAAGTGAGTCTTCGATGATAAAAACCAGTGAATCGTCGATGATAAAACAAGTGAATCGTCGATGATGAAACAAATCATCAATGATGAACTTTACAAGTGAATCGTCGATGATGAAACAAGTGAATCGTCAATGATGAAACAGCGAATCGTCGATGATGAAACAAGCGAATCGTCAATGATGAAACAAGTGAATCGTCGATGAATCGCTGATTTTAATTAAAAGGTTGCATTTTTTTTCGCGCAAGCAACAAGGTCTGACCACGATCTGCTGACGACAGGTTTAGACCTAGGGCCACGAACTAGCCTAGGCCTAGTGACACCAGAATGTGTATGTTTGTTTATTTTTTATGTTTATTTGCTTGAAAATTTGTATTGATTTTCTTTTTATTCATATTGTTTATTGGTGCATTTTTATTTGTCTATATATATATATATATACACATCTAGATGTGTATAAGAGACAGTGAATATATATATATATATATATATATATGTATGTATATATATATATATATGTATATGTATATTTGTTTTAATTTATTCATTTGTTTGCATGTTATTTATGTATTTATTTATAATTGACATTAAATAACATTCATATTATGTATTTCTGTATATATCGTACAATACTTAATCTCATTTTCATTCACATTGCGGTCTAACGTTAGTAATTTTAATCTACGTCAGTGTGACCAGTGATGCAAATCAAATTAGGCCAAGGGCTGATGGGATTATGCTAAATTCCCCCTCCCGCCGCTTAATGAAAGCAATACTAATGTCATATAGCCGTCGGAATTATTTTCAAGTGGTCCGACCATTAGTCAGAGCGGGGCAGTGGGGTAGGCCTACTTAACAATTTTGGTTGTAAAAAGACCCGCTACCCCTATCCACGGAAACAGGATTTTAAAATTAAAATTAGTGGGGTCTGAGAACATCTTCTCCAGACCCACAATGGTTGTTGAACAACATTTTTTGCAACTCTGAATTCCCAGAAATCTATAGATGCTGACAACTTGTAGGGCAAGCTGGGCAAGGGGCAGCCATAAGAAATTAAATTAGCATGGAGATAGAGCCTATGTTGGAAATATGGTACTTCTGGATGCCTGGAAATAGAAGCTGGCAAACCTCTCATTACCCATTCCCATCTGGACACACGTGGTAGCATTGACCAAATTAAAATTCGTAGACTATTTTAGGCCTACATCTTGGGAATATTAAGATAAATGTTATTAGGTCTACTGTGAATGATAGGCCTATATTGTTCAAGATTTAATTAAGTTGCTTATTTCTCCATGAATAATTAAGTGCAAGAAAGATGAATATTATATAAGAAAGTATAATACATACTCCAAGTATTGAAATACACGCCATCGTGTTGGGATTCAATATTTCGACATTAATTATGTCATCATCAGGAATGAATATTATATGTAATGCAAGGATTAAAAATGACCATACTATACATGAGGTGAAAGGGGTATTGTGAAATGCAATCAAGTACAAGTGAAAGAAACACGAATGTATATATAATTCAAGGAATAACAATATGCAAGTAAATAAAACATGTTCTATGAATAGACAGGATACAATATGCTATGAATTAACCTTGGAAATACAGTAGGTCTACGCCTAC